GCTTTGCCTTTACCTACCTTCTGCCTCATATAAACTGCAAGCACTTCACAGAAGATAATCCTGTCCTGAACTAAAAAGACCGCGGAAGTACTAAAGCACCGAGAGTTATCAATTGTGGGTGGTTGATGCTTTGGGATAAGGTACTTTCTATGAAGTATCAATTTAAGATGCTGCTGCACCTTTATCCCTGTCTGGCCTGTCAGAGGATTAGGTAGTAAATTTTCCTTGTAGATCACTGTCTCTTTAGAAAGTCCTTGCATACACTACTGGCGCGCTTATCCCTGAGAAACACATGTACCGATAGCTGCCTTGCAGGGTAAGTAGGAGAGCTGGTTAGGTTAAACCATAAAATCCACTACTCTTGCTCACATTAGAATGAAGAAAACAGCAACACATTACTCACCCATCTCAGAGGAAGAGCAAAACAGGCAAGCTGTTAAGCTGGAGTTACATTGAGTAACTGCGTTAGATTATTTACCTGTTTCAGTGTCTCCTTGGGGTTCATGGCAGTAGCAGCAGTCCATGAAGATAACATAGTTCAACACATTGAAGAACAGACCTACAATCCCAATAACGAGGACAAGCAATGCTTTTTCCGTCTTCTGAGGATTGATATACCTCTTGATTGCCTCAATGAACATGCTGAGCATCAAAGCGGTGGCAAAAACGGAGTTGCCAAAGGCTCCCAGCACATCTGCCCGGTAGAAGCCGTATGTGCTGGCCTTGTGCCACCTGATGTGGCTGACCCTGACGCCAACCAAGCCGATGATCATGGAGATGAAGTGAGACAGAACAGCGAAGGCGTCTGAGGTTAAGCTCAGCGAATTGCCAAGGTACGCTACCGAGATCTCAATGGCGAAAAGCACCAGGCTCACGACACACATCAGGATGAGCCTGCTGCTCCTCCCTGAGTAGCGGCCCATCTCTAGCGCTCTTTCCTACCCTGAGGTTCGGCAAGACCGAGCTGTGCGAGCAGCAACCCGACCGCGACACTTCTGCCCTTCGCCTCTCAGCGTGGCTCACATGTGGCAGCCACTTTTATAGGAAGCAGTAAAACAATAAATCAGTTTAAAGGGCAGTTAAGCAAGATTTATCATGTGAAGACAACTTGAAAATTCTATCTCTACTCCTGTAAGAGCTCCACCCATAGAAGGATTTTTTTTTTTAACAAAAATAATATAAAACCAATACAGAGTAGCAGAAGTGCCAGCAAACGACATCACCCCTCAAAAACAGACCAAGGGCCACACGGGAGAGTGTAAGAAGGCGGCCCAGAATTTTGAGATGCTGGAGAAAGCATTTCTTTTGCATAAATTTTTTTGTGACATTTCAGCCATTTCTGTTGCCAGTACCTTTAGTACTGAGAAAATACTACAGATCTTCAGGAATAGAAATTGCAATCTGTGTTGGGTTGACATGACTTTCAATGGCAGAGTAAGGATGAACTGGCTGACAGGGTTGCCAAGAATGGCAGCTAGAGCACTAGTTTTAAAGATAACCAAACTGATATTCCATTCTATCAAGCAGAGTGTTCTCTGGTGTTCGTCTTCTTTGCAAGTTTTAAGGATTTCCCATGGATACGGAGCAGATTTGGAGACCATTCCCTGAATATATGACTACTAGACATGAAAGGTGAGCCATGACATTAAACCCAAAGTGTGTTCTTTATTTGCTGTTTAGAAATCCCTGCCTATCTCAAAATTCCCAAAGCAATCCCCTTATATTTGCAAGGAACAGATACAGAGATTTAGGTAAAGCATGACAAGAAATTAAAGGAAAAGTGTGAAATGCAAAAGTCCTAGCTTATACTTTGTGCCACTTCTGGACCACAGTGAGAACATAAAACAGTTAAGCTTTTTCAGTCAGACACGCAGTAACTGCTATGCTCTGGTGTACAAAACTATACATTTATGTGGCAACACAAATTCTGGTTAAGGAAATAAGGTTGCTGGTAGCACGCTAGGCAGTATGGATGATAAGACCAGGTGCCTTCCTTGAAAAGTTTATGATGAAGTTTTTGTTTGAAACGTCCACCTGGCTACACAGATGCATACAGTTAGTTACAAGATAAAGCGGAAGGAAATGACATGAAGCACAGCCACAGAAGGATAAGACAGTGATAGCGATAACCCGAGTCAACCAAGTGTCCCTCCTGGCCTTAGACTTCCCAAGGTAAATTCACTTAAGGTCAAAAATTCAACCTCCCATCCCTAATTTTCTATTTATTTCTTTTTGCTCATGGCGATTAATTGGCCAAAATACTTATGTTCAAACTCTAGCCTGTTAGAAACAATGCCTGCCTGCAGCTGCAACATTTAATATCCATTCATTTGACTGCTAAAGTGCTACAGCGGTGGCACGTGAGGTTTCTTTTTTCACCTGAGTTATGACTACTTCTATTTCAGCTTCAGAATCTGCTTTGAATTTTGGGCCAGTTTTAAGAAACCAGCAGTCCTGGTAACGAATGCATAGCAAGGCAACATGCTACAGCTAATTAGAGCACTCAGACTGTCCCTTGTTTGTGTTTGAATCACCCTCATCCTCCCCCAGCTACATAACTACTTTCCTCGAGCTGTACTTGCTGCTTCTCTTCACTCATGTACTATGGGTGATGCTCAACTGCTTTATTATTTTATTACTGGAATTACAGAGCATGGGAAGTGAGATTTTTCAAAAAAAAATTCTCACTACCTTCAATGGGAACAAGCTAAGGTCAACATTCAGAGCTCTCAAAAATCCTGTTGGATGTAGCACTCCAGTCTTGCAAATTACCGAAATTCGAGCTCAAGAGACACGAAGGAATCCCTCTGCAGCAGAAGGAAGAGCTGTGCTCGTTTTTGCCAATAGGGAGCAGCAGATTATAAGGCATTGCTACTGTACTATGTTCTTTAACCAAGATTTGCTAGTGTGCAACTGTAAGAAAGAGAGAGTCCTAAAGGGGCTATTATAAACATGCACAGTTTAGTTAATTCTAATGAATTATTGATTTATTAAATTTCTCAAGAACACAGTTTATTAACTTACAGATCTTTTAAGTTTTCATGCCAGTGTAATGGTGTTTCTATAAGGCTTTACAGACAGCTCAGATTGTGTTTCTAGGGGACAAGTATTTGAAATCAAAATCTCTCTCCTCAGCCACTAGACAGATCTGGAGGCGATTCATCAGCATTCCAGATGCTTCCAGCCCTACTATAATTTGGAAAAAACATGGTGGGGGGAGGAAAATGAAGGAGGAAATATTCCAAAGGCAGGGAAAACATGTTTATCCCTCCTTGAAAACCCTACCTTCAAATAAACTCATGGCAGAATGAGAGCAAGTGTTCTCCCACGGCAAAAGAAAAGCAAGTGTTCAAAAAAAAAAAAAAAAAAAGAAAAAAAAAAAAAACACCACTGTCACCATGTTTACCCCTGTATTTGATCAAGTCAACCAGTTCAAGGTTGTCTGTTTGATCAAGTTGATGAGCTTGCAGCTTTAGAGACTGCATTTAGTTTTTGTCTTTCCTTGTTCTGTGCATATTAGCAAGCTTCCGCATCTCATTTTTAAAAAAGACCAGTGTTGCAGAGCTTTTCAATGAGAGGTAAAAATTCTTTCAAGTTCTCATTACAGTTTCCTGCTCTATCTTCTTGGTACTCTTTGGTCCCTTGTTCCTCAGCTCATGGAAGCTGCTGCAGCACCCAGCGGGAGGCGCAGCAGGAGGCAAGGTCGCAGCGGAGTGCGGGACAACATCGTTGTCCTTGCTGCTTGCCCTCCTTCTCAAAGCATGCTTCCAGGTAGTGCTGGAGACGAGGTGCAAGCCTGGAAGAGCTTTAGCACCCCTCTTTCATCTTTCTTTCTCAGTTAACAATGTATGTGCGCATTGCAGTATCACCCCCCAAAACACACAGGAGACTTTGCCTAGAGAGTTAAAAAATATCTAGATAGATGAACATGAGATTGAGATGTAACAGGAAAATGTTTCAGGACAAGGCATTTCCAAGTACTCGAGCTTTCTGAGCAAGTTGATCTAAATTAGTTCATACTTTTGCACTTGAAACATTGTGGTACTATCCCAAGATGTGTGATCCTAAGCTGGACAGGCCACTGCTTCAAGTTGATATTCAGCATTTTCACTAGGAAGGCTGGCCACATGCATCTATGCAAGGGCAAACATTTTACAGACTTGTAAAGAGTAGAGAAATCCACAGATCTGGGAATGATATATAAGTCAGGAAGGCATTAAAGAAACGTCCAGAGAAAAAAGGCTGGAGATGATTCTACTGGCTCAACTTTTTGATTGCTCAGTTTTCACGCACGCCCTCAGGGAAAAGGTTTAGGTAGACAGCGTCCAAATATACAGGAAAGCAGAGAACAAGTTAAGCCTGTACTACTGACAAGCTACTGCAGCATTTATTGCCTGCAGTATCTCATATTTTCTTTTTTTTTTCTTCCAAATAATTTTGTACCTCTGCAACCTCAGCCTTTTCTCCTCAAGTAACACAAAGTAAGGGAAGGAAAAGCAAAAGGGTTTTATGGAACTTGGTATACGTACAACCACAGACAAGAAGTTTATCACTGCAAATACCTCCTTTCAGATTGTCTTTGCCTTACTCATTGCAGTATCACCGTGAGACAGCTGTAACTGCCAGTCAGTAAGATAAGAGAAACAGAGCAGGCAAATTGTCTACCAGAAATGACATTAACCTATATTTTGCTACCAACCTGGCATTTAGTTAAAGATCGCCCTTGAAATGTGTTTTAGGTTGGGATTAATGTATTTCTTGAATTCTATCCTCTTTGAAATCCAGCTTCCATTTTGCCTAAAAGAATAGCAGTGTGGCTAGGCTGAAAAAATGAAAAACATACAAGCTTTTAAGCCAAAATTAAAAGCAGATGTTTTATTCGGTTTATGTAGATGCCCTATATTGTACTGTAAAACATATCTAGAAGATGGAGAAAATGTCATATATTTTCCTCAGAGTTAAAAGAACATTATATACACCCAAAAGAAGAAACAAAATAGACAAGAGCAAAGAATATTCTATCCTTCCCATTGAGCAACACAGAGAAAAAAAAAAAAAAGACCAAGGTACATTACAGCTCACAATACATGTTTATTAGAGATGTTTACAGAAAAATCTGTGAATTACTGCTAGTCTAAGACTGACAACCAGGGGTTTTATGGTTTATGGCTTTGTTTTTTGAGTCATTTAAAAAGTTGCAAAACCGATAAGTTTGGGGGCTATTCCAGTCTTATTAAAAAAAGTTTAATTCAGAGATAAAGGAAAGGGTGGTTTCACTAGTAATTTAGTAACTACGACCAAATAGAGTGTAGAACTTAGCAGGGTTTTTGCTACAGACGCATTTTGTCCCGGACTGCAGTTCACAGAGAGGCTGAAAAGGTATGCAGAGGCTTTTTGCTCCCATGGAGGGAGCACCAGGCTCAAGATCTTGATCCCTGAAATGACAGCATAAAGACATATAAATAAATTTATTCTAAAATAAAGGTACAATAAAGTGTATTATTAAAAAAAAAATCCCCAAAGCATGCTAACGGGTCTGAAAGCTTTAGAACTAAGGCACTTTACTTGTTTATGGACTATATGCAAGTGTTACACTTAAAAGAATCTTACATTCATGTTTTATATTCAAACCATTTGGGTTTGATGTTGGTAGATCCCCTCTAGTTCAGTAACATTTTACCTGGCAGTGGTCTTCTTGATCCAATCCTCACACTCGATTTCCCCACAAAAAGGAATTTGCACAATCTGAAATGGAAAAAATCAATTATACACCTAAAAATATCCTTTTTCTCAGGAAGATTCGTAAACCTTAAGATCTCATACTTACTCGAGAACTTTGTATAAATACTGCTGCAATTTTCTTACAGCTTGAGCTAAACTATACATACAGCTCCACACTTCAAAAGAGCTGATTGTTTGTGTT